TCTTTAAAAAGACATGTTCATCGACTTCATACGCTTCAGACAGCTGTTGTCTCATTGTATCCAGCATTCTTACATTTACCGACACTTGAAAATTGGCTTGCCACCCGTCCGTACTGGCATGGTCCAGTATAATACAGTAAGGAGCATTTTATTCCAGCTCCAGTATGACACGATCCCACATTACTCGAGACAAGTGGCGACGCTATATTTAATTGTGACAGTAAATGTAGTGCACTACAATACACAATATCGCAAAATTGGCTGCATCAGCCGATTGGGTAACAGTTGTGTATCAGAATGTAAGACAGCAGTTAAGTAGCATAAAGTAAGATGATGAAACTGAGAAGCAGAACTATCGTGTTGTTTTTTTCGCAATTATGTCTTTGATATTTCCCTTACAGACATTGTAAAGTGGAGATAACTTAAAATAAAAATAAAAACAAAACGAAATAAAAACTAAATAAAATATGAAGTAAAATTAAAGCGAATAAACGGGGAAATTAGACACAGCACTGCCGATGTGTTTCGGGGCTCAGAAATAACCACTCTCGTACTCTCCTACATATTTTGCGAGAACATACAGTTAAATTGCGTTGCGTAAAATGCGGAAAGTGCTCGTGCACGTGGACGGGAACCTCGCGAACATGTACAGCAGTCACAGAATTCGATGGTCACAGAATTTGGTGTCACACCTGTGTTGAATGCAAAGTCGCAGGTGTTAAACGTATATGCAATGGTCGACTGCTGATGACGTAGGCGAGTGGTGTCCCGATTCCTAGGTAAAGATTTCAAGCCCTACCCCTTGTGGTTACGATCTGTGAAGTCAATTTCAGAAGGGAGGGCCCTCGAAATCTAGTGGTAGGGCTAAGGGAGGAGAAATGTGATTGGGCTTAAACCTCCAAAGAGGCAGGGGGGCGGCTGACTGGGTCACATCAGACTGTATTATACAGACATTCTAAACAACAAGCTTCTGTGGCCATTTTACAGGCCCCAGCCAGGGGGGGCAGGGCATGAAGAAGAAGAAAAAGAAAGAGGGGGGAGCTCAGCATGGCAGCTGTCATCAGAAGGTGTGTCACTGGAGGGGGGGCTTGAGGTCACTCTGCTCAGTCGGTCTCCGTGGGGATGGTCCTTAATGCATGCCGCTCTCTCTCTCTCTCCTTTTCGTTCTCTCCCTCTGTCTCCCCCTCTCCATCCTGCTCCATCCTTTCCTCTTTATTTCCCTCCCTCTCCCTTTCCTCACTCCACCCCCTTCTCTCACTATCTCTCTCCCTCCGTGTCTTTCCCTCTCGTCCTTTCCACCCTCTTTCCCTCCCTCTCTCCATCCCCTTCTCTCTCTCACCATCCACCCCCCCTTTCCCGCTGCATCCTTTCCTCAGTTTTTCCTACCCAGCTCTCTCTCTCTTTCCCTTTCTCTCTATCTCTCTCTCCATCCCTCCCTCTCTCTCCCCCTCTCTCCACCCCCCCCCCAGCCCCCAGGCTTTGTGAAGAAGCCCTTCATGTCACAGGAGTTCATCAGCCAACATGCCGTGGAGCACAGAGGCCGCCTCATCTGCAAATACTTCCTGGGTGGGCGCTGCCGCAAGGTGAGAGCCTCGCAGGGGGTGCGGAGGGGAGGCGAAGGAGGGAGGCGCCTGGCCTGACTCACTTGCATCTCCTGCAGGAGGACCAGTGTAAATTCGAGCATGAGCTGGTGATCCTGGACAAGAAACTAGAGCTGTGCAAGTACTACGTGCAGGGTTACTGCACTAAGGGAGAGAGCTGCATCTACATGCACAATATTGGGGGCAGCGTGTGGCTCAGTGGGCTAAGCCTGTGTACCTGTAATCACAAGGTTGCCAGTTCAAACCCAGCCTCAGCATGTCTGTGGATCCTTCAGCAAGGCCCTTACCCCCCAGCTCCCTGGGCGCCCCAACAGGTGGCTGCCCTTTGCGGACAACTTACTCTGCAAAGAGCAAGTTGAGGGAGGCGTAAAAACAATTTCCCCACGGGGATCAATAAAGTATCAATTATTATTATCCTCTGTGGCTGCCGGCCCCAGGTTCGAAGGTAAGATGCATATGCATAACACAAGCCAAAAGGATTACATCAGCTGCAAAGCTACTCAGATACATTAGAGTACCTCTCCTGGAATAGAAAAAAATATGTAGCTTAGTGAATGTAGTGGAAATCATAAGACTATGGAGTCTGATTGAGAAGCAGCGTGGTTTTATTGCAATAAAGAAAATGCCTGCTCAGTCAAACACCTACAGAGAACTTATTTCATCAAAGAATATTCTTTATATAATGGAATCAGAACAATTCATCCATATAAAATGGGTACAAAAGCGTTTCAGAATCATCACAAGCAAAGCCGCAGGATTATTACAAAGATATTAATATATTAATTATGAGAATAAGAATGAAATGTTTTTAAATCCTGATTCATCTTGGTTATGTGTATTTCTCCAGCTTGATTAGGAGAAATGTTGCTGTTATGCTTGATTACATCAGGGTATTTTATCCAGTTCATTGTAAGAACCCTCTTCCATGTTGCTTATACAATACGTGAATTACTAGATTCATCTTGATTACATCTATTTCACTAGCTTGCTTAGGGGAAATGTTGCTGTTATATCTGATTACTGCTCCTCACAGATCCTCCTCCTCAACTTCAACATTCACCTTCTCATTAATCACCCCCATCCATGTTCCCCGTTCAGAGAACTCCTGCTCCTCTCCATTGCTCTTAATCTTCTTAATTTTAGCAGTAAATGGGATCTGCCCGCATTCCTGCTTGTTGACTAGTAATTTAACAGTTATCTTTTTATGAGATGGGACAGTGATCTCCAACTCTTCCCTCATGGTCATAGATGTCTCTTTCGTGGAACTGGTGCCATACGATCCTTTGTATGAGATTGAGACATCTGATTTTAAATCTACTAGAAATTTCCATGCATAAGACACAGTGCAGTTCAAACCCCAAGTATGATCCCAAGTGGTTGTTCCAGACTCAGTTTTTGTCCACGACATATTAAACTTGTACTTCTGCTCCACGCTACTACGGTTGATGTAAGTTTCTTTCTGGACAACAGATGGTGTGTGAGTCAGTTCATGGACTTTCATGAAGTCCACAGAGATGATCTTATACTCAGGACTGACGATGTCTCCGATGGTTGCGGTGAATTCACAATACTTGTCTGGCCCATCCTTGGCAACTTCAATGTTGAGGCGTCCACGGTGAATTTGACTCACAAATTTATCATTGTCACCTTTAAACAAAACCTTCTCACCTTTCTTGAAAACTTCAAATTCACAATGTTTGTCAGAGGGATTCTTAGCTGCCTCAACAAAATCAATACCACCTCTGGTAAATCGACTGAGGTATACACCTCTCCGATCTCTCATAAGAACTTTATGGTGTCCAACCTTTTCTAAGAGGAACTTGCACCAAGGGTCTTTTGTCTTCTTGCAGCACTCAATAGGATATATTCCATTTCGTTCAATCGGGCTCCAGTAGTTGCCATCGAGATCCATCAGAGCCACTCCCTCTTCTGCCTTAATGAAGGCTTCAAGCGAACCGAAACCAGCGACAATTGACTGAAACAAAAATGCACAATTGTACAAAGGACCTATATGTAGGTAATTAAAGTAATACAGCAGTAACAGTTGGTGATCAGGAGATACAATATTGTTGAATGTGCGTATTCAGTGTTCTGTAAAATAAAAATAGAGTAATCTCTATTGTAAAATAAAGGGAAAGTTATTAACTGACAGCTTACATTGTACACTATATGAAAACGCATGAAAATATATTGAGCGTGTAACTAAATGTACAACAAAGTGTTTAATAAAATAATGTTTTTAACAGATCATGCAAACTGCACATATGCAGTGGTGGACAGTTACACCAGCACAGATGTCTTTGTACTGTCATTGTAAATGTGTGTTGTTGTTTTTTTATTGTTCCTCCTGTTTTGGCAGGGGGGGGG